ATATATTCATTTTATAGACCTAAATCCATTTGCTGCAGAAAAGTTGACGTTCATGATCTATGGTTGTTGTTGTTGCTTACAGATATTTTGTTTCAGATTCCCTCTCAGTTTTTATGATCTTATTTTCTTCCTCCACCTGTGACTCATCTGTGCTCATCAGATTATGTATAGCTCATGAAAAGCACATGCTGGTCATATTTTATAACGTGTGACTCAGTCATGAGAAAGAAAAGAGTGCCTCCTACTGTGTTAAATTAACTCAAGTCGTGATGACATACCAGTAAACTACCATTGTTGCAGTTCAGATGCCACTTGTCTTCTATGTAGGTCTTCTATCTATGTTATAATGTGTAACAACTTTTACGTTTTAATTGCTTTTCTAACACTGCATACATTCTGATAAATACTGTATGTCTTCTGTATGCAAAATTAATGTGCTACAGGAATAAAAGGAGTAAAGGTTATGGGTTTGAAATCTCCAAGAACAAGCATTCTTCATCTCCACTTTTCAACAAGGCTTTCTTTTTTTTTTTAATAAGTTCTGTCCGTGTCTGTCCACCTCCGTCTCATACGTAGGAGTGGAGGCAGCATTTGAAAAGAAAGCAAAGCTTTGTCTATCTTCAGCTATCAGGCTTTACAGCACCAAAGCCAATTAACTATCCAGGCAGAAGGTTTAGATTCAAATACATGGTAATAATTAGTTACAGAAGTAGCTATTACTGTTGTCTCCTTCCTCCTTTAAGAAGATGCTTACTGCCCACATAATCCCAAGTTATTAATCAGCTTGCTGTAATTTACTGCAATGCAAAAACTTGAAAGAGATTTTTTTTTTAATTCTTCAAAAGCTTTAAGTTTATCTTGAATAATTAAAGGCAATGGACACGTGTCTCTTCTTTCTCTTGCAGCAATACTTCCATGCTGGAGGAAACGGTCTAAAGAAAACGTTCCTTGAAAAGAGCCCTGACATGAAGTCCCTCAAATACGCTCTCAGCCTTTACACTCAACCTACAGATGCCTTGATTAAGAAATATATATGCACTCAAACCTCTCAAGGTAAGAACCTCAGGCTTTGTTGTGTGTTTTTGTTTAGTTTTTAAGACTACGAGTTACTTTGACTTAAATCTACTTGGGGCCTTTTGCTGTTTGCATAAGATATCTTAAGTCAATGGGAAATTTACAGTAAAATTTTGTAAAAGTGTGTAAACAGGGGTAAAACAGAAAGGACTGAATAGTATTACTGTATCGCAACATTGTACCACTTTTATACAGAACCAGACAGTAAACATGTTTTAATCAACATTGCTAATGGCTAAGTCAAATAAAGTTTTGTTGCTGCTGTGTAGTTCACAATTTGTCTCACACTTGTGCACCATCCAGTCAGCTTATTATTGTGAGCATATTTATGAAGCATTTACAGCATTGTGATCCATTTTTCTTCTGTACATTTTTCGGCATCTTTTTCTTTCCACAATTTTTGTACTATTTTTACAAAACGTTCAGCTCATTCAGGAGAAGGGTGCTATGACTTTTGGTATTAGTGCAACTTTAGCTTTTTAAAACATTTAGCCTTTTCTGCCTTTGTTTCCTCATAGAAAATGAACTGACCTCATTTTACATCCCTCAAATCTTTACATCTGTTTATAACCTTTTACTGCTCCTTTCACACTTTGTTCTGGTTCAGCTTATTTCAGCTTGATTGTGCAAATGTAAACTTTTTCAGCTAATTTCATCTGTTTTTTTTTCAGCTGTTTTGTGCTGCTTTTTGATTATTTCTGCTAACTACATAATTTCTGTGCTCCTTCTAATTTATTCCTGCTAATTTCAGCTGTTATGCTCCTTTCAGCTATCTTCTGCTGGTTTCTGCTTTTACTGCTTTTTCAGCTACTGTTGTTATGCTAAATTTAGCATTTTCAACTAATTCCACATTTTTTGCACTCATTTAAGCTTTTAGCATCCTATTTCAGCAAAAATGTGCTCTTTCCACTTTCTTCTGGTAACTTATGAGTCTTTCTGCCTTTTTAACTACTTTTCAGCTGTTTTTTTGCTAATTTCAGTTTTATTCAGATAATTTTCATTGTTTGTGCTCATTTCTGCAACTTTTAACCTAATTAACTTCTTTATGATTTGGGGAGTGGTGGCGCAGAGGTTAGAGAAGATGGGCATGTGATTGGAAAGTTGCAGGTTCATCTCCTGGTACCGTCAACATCAAAATGTGGGAGAAAAAGGTGAAACGCCCACACCTGCCTCCACCCTCATTTTTCCCACTCTAAGCCCCTGAGCAAGGCCCTTAACCCCACCATCTCCCAAACAGGTCTATCTGGAAAATGAATTCTCATGACTCAATGAGACTAACTGTATAGATAAAGGATAAATAAAATCAAATAAAATTATAATTTCAGCTTGTTGAGCTCTGTTCAGCTTTTTTTCAGGTAGTTTCAGCTTTTCTGTTATTTCAGCTACTTTTTAGCTGTTTTTGTGCTAAATTTAGCTTTTTCAGCTAATACTTTTTTTAGCTAATTTCTTCTCATTCCACTTTCTTCTGGTAGTTTAAGCTTCGTTCTGCCTTTTCAGCAAATTTTCACCTTTTCTGCTAATTTCAGCTTTTTAAGCTGATTTCCTATGTTTGTGCTCATTTCTGTTTATTTAAACCTAAATCAGCAACATTGTGTTTTTTTTACTTTCTTCTGCTAACTTAGGCTTGCCGTTCCATTTCAGCTACATGTCAGCATGTTTTTAATCAATTTCAGCTGATTTTCAGCAAGTTCTTCAGCAGTACGCATTCACACTGCATTTTCGCAGGACATGCAATTTTTGTCGTTCAGTTTATTTTTAGTGAAAAGAATCCTTAAGTCTCTATTTTTACTTCATTTACAAGCTTATTTTAACATTAAACTGAAGATGTATTTCCTGTCGCAAGGCCGTGACGAAGAATGTGACCAAGCCAATGCAGAAAAAAAGTTGGCATTAGGAAATCAGTGATGAATAAAATTAATTCCTCAAAACTGAAAACACAGCTGTAGCAGGAAAACTAACAATTGTACACAGAGCAACAAAAGAACGAAACCGAAACAAGCTGCATGAAAACCATAATGATAAACTCAGGTGGAAGCCTTACAAAATATAAAACAACCGTCTGGCACTGAACTATGGAAACTGGCTGAATAAGTACGGAGGGAGCAATAACTATAAACAGAGTGAGTGGGATAATTACAAAACTAGGAACTGATCTGCAGGCGAAACCAGTGGAAAGACTAATAAACACAGCAGGAAAATCAAGACCTGAAACCGGGAATAACATATAAACGAATTCAAACAAAACCAAGAATATAAAAATTATACCAGACAGAAAAAAAAAAAATCAAGATCTAAAAAACATAAAAAGCCAGAAAAGGCTTATTGTTACTGATTGTTATCACTTTTTGTTAAAATTCAGGTCTCTCTTGTAAATGAGTCCCCTAAGCCCGATGGGATTAACTTGTGTAAATAAAGATTGAATGAATGAATGAATGATTTGATCTGTACATAAATTATTTTGTTTTATTATACAAGTAATTTTGAGCTAAATTTGATGAACTCATTGTCTCTTTTGTAATTAAAAAAACTCATACAAACAAAGTTATCTATGCTTTTACACTCTTCTTTTTCTTCTATCATTATACACATGTAAAAAATGCTGCCTTGACATGTTTAAGTGTAAATCTATCAATTTGTCCTTGTCTTCTCTGTTTTCCTTTGTCATCACTGGCCCACTTTCGTTTGTTGTTGTCTCGTTCATCTGTCTCCATGTGGAACTTTTTCTCATTTTTCTCTGTAACAAGACAGAAAACCCCTCAGGTGTCCGAGAAAACCCGAGATAGAGAGGGAGAGAAGAGAGGAGAGAGGGAGAGAAAGCAACCCAGTGGGGCATTGAAGCTCAAGCCCCTGGTTGCTTCAATGCGCTCAGCCTTGCAGAACAGTACCAAGGCAGGCAGCAGGAACTGCAGAGAGGCTGTAGGAGAACACTCATCAGCCAGGCAGCCAGCAGGCCAACCAGCCATGCTGCTCTCACTGACTGGCAGATGGACAGAAAAGCAGTTTGGCTGCAGACTATTTTAGGACTCCTCTGTTTTGTCTATTTCCTCTTGCTCCACATCTCTCATCCCACCACTTATTCCCCACTTCCACACCACGTTGTCACCTTGCATTCTGAGCTGGTCTAATGTGATGTCTATAAGTGGAGGTAGTGAGGTGCTGGATGAGTTTTAGGTCAGTAAACAGCGTGGAGATGTGTTAAAGCTTGATGTGGCTCAGTGGGCACAGCTTCATCACTAACCCTCGCCCCTTGTCAGTGGCATTTTTAGACCACAGACTATTCTTGTTTATTCCCAACAAACATGCTCTCCCAAACAAAAGTACACATTAGTCTCTTGTTTATTGCGGGGGTTCAGTTTCGAACCCGCCCGCAGTAAGTGAAATTCCGCAAAGTAGCAACATTATATTTATTTTACTACTATTAATGCTTTATAAACTTTCCCCACACTTTTGCAATGTTCTTCTTCTTTTGGCTTTTTCCTCTTCAGGGGTCACCACAGTGAGTCATCCTCCTCCATCTCACTCTGTCCTCTGCATCCTCTGTCCTCACTCCAACTACCTCCATGTCCTCTCTAACTGCATCCTCTTTGGCCTTCCTCTTTGTCTTTTTCCTGGCAGCTGCATTTCTAACATCCTTCTACCAATATACCCACTGTCCCTCCTCTGTACATGTCCAAACCATCTCAGTCTGGCCTCTCTAACTTTATCTCCCAGTTGTTCAACCTGTGCTGTACCTCTGATTGTCTCATTCCTAATCTTATCCATCCTGCCACTCTAAGGAGAACCTCAACATTTTCATTTTTTGCCACTTCCAGTTCTTTCTCCTGTCTTTTTGTCAATGCCACTGTCTCCAGACCATACAACATAACTGGTCTCACCACTGTCTTGTAAACTTTTCCTTTGACCTTTGCTGACACCTTTTTGTCGCAAATGACTCCTGAAACTTTGCTCCATCCACTCCATCCTGCCTGGACTCTCTTTTTCACCTTTTTACCACATTCCCCATTTTTCTGGACAGTGGACCCCAAGTACTTGAAGTCCTGCACCTTTGTGACCTCTGATCCTTGTAGCCTCACTGTTCCACCGGCCTCCCTCTCATTCACACACATGTACTTTGGCTTACTGCAGCTGACTTTCATTCCTGTTCTTTCAAATGCATATCTCCACCTCTCCAAGTTCTCTTCCACCTGTTCTTTGTTTTAACCACAGATCACAATGTCATCTGCAAACATTATAGTCCATAGGGATTCCTGCCTGATTTCATCTGTTAGTCGGTCCATTACCAGAGCAAACAAGAAGGGGCTCAGAGCAGATCCTTGATGCAATCCCACCTCCACCTTGAAGCTATCTGTCACTCCTACAGCACATCTCACCACTGTCCTCATACATGTCCTGTACCAGTCTAACATACTTCTCTGCCACTCCAGATTTTCTGATGCAATACCACACCTCCTCCCTCGACACCCTGTCATACGTTTTAACTAAATCCACAAAGACACAATGGAGTTCTTTCTGACCTTCTCTGTACTTCTCCATCTCTCTTGCAATGTTCTAAACTCTTAAACCTGCGTTAACAACATACTACACAGTAACAACAAAAAAGGTTGAATCATGTCATCTGGACTTCGTTTTTTTTTGTTAAAAAGAAACGTTTCGCCCCTCATCCAAGAGGCTTCGTCAGTCTGAGGCCTAGCCATCTGGTACTACACAGTAGCTACTGCAAAAATTTGTATGTGGACTTACCAGCCTTGGTCCGGTTCTGGTCCAGTTTTTATTGGTTCTCTATAGCTGTTGAGCACCAAAATGCTTTTACAGAGAGCCGGATCTTTGGAGAGCCAGCACAAAGCCACACAATGGTCCAGATAGAGTCTAAATAATCCAGAGAAATCAGATGAAAAAAGTCTGTGTGAGCTCCAGAGAAGACACCGGACCTCCGAGCAACGCCTCGCTGCTCGAGAGGCTCCCTGGGCCATCAAACATCACTCAGATTGACCAGTGAGGCTGGAAATATTTCTGGTCTGGTTCTGGTCCAATTCTAATTAGCTCTCTGCAGTCATTGAGCACCAAAGTCACTATAAATAAGGACCAAACTTTTTAGTCAGGTTCGTATCAGGTCAAAACTGTCTTTCCATTTTGGCAGAAAGCACATGGTTGAAAGCACTGTTGAGTTCTTGGTAGTGCACTGTTGCCTTGTGGGTAATGTAGTTAATTTGGACTATTGATACAGTATAAAATAATTGAAAGAAAACTACAAAACGACGGCACCTATCCGGATTATTATTTTTTGCCATTAACTTTTTCCAAACCACGTGAGTACAGTAATATAGTAATATTACTGTAAGCTCGACAATCGTGTGTCGTGTACAAATTTTTTTTTGCAGAATATTATGGACTGTGTGTCCACAAACTGCGATAGAGCGAGTCGGCGAAAGTTGAACCGCGAAGTAGCGAGGAATTACTTTATAGACATTTTACTTTAATATTTAATTTATCTTTTCCTTAAATCATTCTTCTGTAGACAACAGAGTTAACAATTATTGTGACAGTAGAATTAAATGTTGTTAATTCTACAGCAGATCAACAACAAATAATGACATCTTCTCTTTATGTTACTTTTATTAGCCGTTTTCTCACTCACTTTCTTGACCCTAAAAATTGTATTTTTTTTCTGCTACTACTCCCTTTTATCTTCTGTGCACTATTAATCTCAGTAACTCTGCATGTCTGTGTTTTTTCAAGTTCCCCATTTAGCCGGGCACTTTCTGCACGTCTTGTTTATTTATTCATGTATCCTGAGAGCCATCAGAAAACATACAGACTCTTAACCTATAACTTATCAGCCGGTAGCTTAAGTAAACGTGCAGTGACATTGCTCTGGTAATTTCCCTCAAGAGCGAGCCTTAGCATTGCAGCAGCGCTGTATTTTCTGGACCCCCCATCTCCTCCATCCCTCCAGACAACATGACAATAAATCTTTAGGCTTGTTTCTTTATTACTAGCTGTAACGGGCGCTGCACGTTTGGCAAGTATTGATTAGCCATCGTGTGAGCACGCCCCTTCATCACCGGCGCCGCCTCATACCATTCCCGTGTTGAGCATCTGTTTGTTTGTTTGTTTGTCCCGGACTGGGTGATCCATTAGACAGCTGGAATAGGCAGAGAAAAGTGAGACACATGGTCAGCGATTCTCTGATTTGTAGTGCAAGTGTGATTAAACTTTAATTATGATGTTAACTGTACGGGCTGTGCTGCCCAATGGGGCTGTTTCCCTCCTTCATGCTCGTTCTTATCTCCTCTGCTGATCGATTGACTTTATTGCTCCATTCATAACCTGCATATCAACCAAATCCAGTGCTCTCATACTCCCATTAAGTTCATTATATTTACTTAGGGGATGTTTTTAGCTAAATCCAACAAAGTTAAGTCAGGTCATCTGGACAGTTTCTTTCTTTGTTTTTTGGGTTGTTGAAATGTTTTGTCCATCATCCAAAGGACTTCATCAGTCTGAAGAGCCACAACAAACTCAGTCCCACAAGCAGCACACTCACATAGTGGACCAACCAATTTTGATGGTGATAAGATGGTTTTTGGAGTTTGTCCTCTTTCCTGTCGATTCCTCTGAGGCTCCTCTGGATTTTGATGTTTTGAACCACTTTGGCTATGGCTGCCTCAGAGGAGTTGACGGGGGAGAGGGTGAACTCCAGAAACCATCTTATCACTAACAAACTGGTGTGAGTGTGCTGCTAGTGGCACTGAGTTTGTTGTGGCTCCTCAGACTGATGAAGTCCTTTGGATGAAGGATGAAACATTCCAACAACAATAACAAAAAGAAACTGTCCAGGTGACTTGATTTAACTTTGTTGGATATTTTTTACCTGAATTATTGAGCATGAACTTTGATGTTTTTAGCTAAATTCTCATTTTTTCCTCTCCTTGGCTTTTTAAAACCATGCAGATTAAGGATTGTTTGTTTTTGGGTAAATGTATAGGGAAACCTGCTTGGTGGCAGTGGGTGTAAAATTCCATCTATCCTCTCCAAGTTATTTTTGGATTTAATCTTCTTGTTTTGACACAGCTTTTTTGATGCATTTCTGAATATCTCATCGACCTGCACCCACAACTTTGGATCATTTCCTTGTTTCTTCTCTCTCTTTCTCCCTCTCTTGCTCTCTTTCTTCACTTTGATTTTTTTATTTTTCACTTTGGCTAGCGCTCCCATCCCTTCTTGCGATTTCTGTCCTGCCTTTCTTTAACTCTGCTGTTGCTGTTTTGGTGTGTGTCCAGGTCAGTCATCCGTTGGATCGGTGGGGGAGGTGTCAATGCAAGTGAATCTCATCTCTCACCCTGGCACAGGAGAGCACAAAGTCAGCGTGAAGGGTGAGATTTTTTCCCATACTCAGGCCTGCTTTTACTCAGTTCTAATCAAGAGTATTTTATCTTGCAGAGTATTTTACCTTGCAGAGTATTTTACCTTGCAGAGTATT